GGGTGACCAAGGTTTTTTTTAATTTTTCTTTTTTTTTTTTTTCGCGAGGCAACGGTTGGCCTCGTGGCAACTAATTGGTTCCAGTCGCCCGCAAACAAACAGGCGGCGGCTGAAAATCCCCCCCCCCTCCTGCAACCGGGGGGGGGACACGGGGCTTTCTGTCTGTCCCAGAGTTGGTGGGTCGGCTGTCCTCACGTCTGTCCACACGTCTGTCCACACGTCTGTCCCAGCTCCTGCGTGTGTAGATCCAGCCTTGCACACGTGGAGCCATTTCTGCACACGTGGATCCGTCCCTGCACACTTGGATTCGTCCCTTCGCACTTGGATCCATCCTTGCACACGTGGATAGATCCATGCACACTTGGTTCTGTCCCTTCACACATGGATCCATCCTTGCACACGTGGATCCATCCTTGCACACGTGGATAGATCCCTGCACACTTGGGTTCGTCCCCACACACATGGATCCAGCCTTGCACACGTGGATCCATCCCTTCACACATGGATCCATCCTTGCACACATGGATCAATTCCTGCACACGTGGATTTGTCTCTGCACACACAGATCCATCCCTGCACACTTGGATTCATTCCTTCACTCATGAATCCATCCTTGCACACATGGATTGATTCCTGCACACGTGGACCCATCTCTGCACACACGGATCCATCCCTGCACACCTGGATTCGTCCCTTCACACTTGGTTCTGTCCCTTCACACATGGATCCATCCTTGCACACGTGGATCCATCCTTGCACACGTGGATAGATCCCTGCACACTTGGGTTCGTCCCCACACACATGGATCCAGCCTTGCACACGTGGATCCATCCCTTCACACATGGATCCATCCTTGCACACATGGATCAATTCCTGCACACGTGGATTTGTCTCTGCACACACAGATCCATCCCTGCACACTTGGATTCATTCCTTCACTCATGAATCCATCCTTGCACACATGGATTGATTCCTGCACACGTGGACCCATCTCTGCACACACGGATCCATCCCTGCACACCTGGATTCGTCCCTTCACACTTGGTTCTGTCCCTTCACACATGGATCCATCCTTGCACACGTGGATCAATTTCTGCACACGTGGATTGATTCCTGCACACATGGATCCATCCCTGCACACTTGGATTCGTCCCTTCACACGTGGATCCATCCATGCACACATGGATCAATTCCTGCACACACAGATCCATCCTTGCACACGTGGATAGATCCTTGCACACTTGGTTTTGTCCCTTCACACATGGATCCATCCATGCACACGTGGATAGATCCATGCACACCTGGTTCTGTCCCTTCACACACGGATCCATCCTTGCACGTGGATCAATTCCTGCACACATGGATCCATCCCTGCACACATGAACCTGTCCACACACACCCGTGCAAAGGGGTCTTGCATGTGCATGTGGGTCATGCGTGTGCACACGTGCATGGCTGTGCATGCAGGTGTGAGGTCTGTGCATGCATATGTGCTGTCACGTGTGCATGGATGCGTATCTACACGTGTGCAAGCCCCAGGGCTCTGTGTGTGTGTGCTGTGTGTGTGCAGGGGTGCCTGTGCCCAGAATCACGTGTGTACACACGTGTGTGCAAGTCCCAGGGCTGGGCACACGTGCGTGTGTGCCCTTTGAGTGCACATGTGCCCAGAGCTGAGCATGCACATACACGTGTGCAAGCCCCAGTACTTGTGTGCACTTCTATATGTTCCAAGGGGTGTGCAAGCACCAGCCCTGGTGTGTACACACATGTGCATATGTGTGTGTACATGCATGAATGTGCCCAGGGCATGCATGGACATGTAAGTGTGTGTTATGGGGTGTGTGTGCATGTGTGTGTACACATGTATGTGTGCACACGTTTGTGTGTGTGTGCATGTGCCCAGGGGCATGTATGGACATGTAAGTTAGTGTGTGCCCAGGAGTGTGCGTGCATGCATGTGTGTGTGTATATGTGTGTGTATTTATACATGTGTGTGCATGTCTGCATGCATGTGTGTGTGTGTGCATGTGTGTGTACACAGGTATGTGTGCACATGTTTGTGTGTGTGTGCATGTGCCCAGGGGCATGTATGGACATGTAAGTTAGTGTGTGCCCAGGAGTGTGCGTGCACATATGTGCGTGTATGTATACATGTGTGTGCATGTCTGCATGCATGTGTGTGTGTGTGCATGTGTGTGTACACAGGTATGTGTGCACATGTTTGTGTGTGTGTGCATGTGCCCAGGGGCATGTATGGACATGTAAGTTAGTGTGTGCCCAGGAGTGTGCATGCACGCATGTGTGTGTATATATACATGTGTGTGCATGTGTGCATGCATGTGTGTGCGTGCATGTGGACATGCAAGTGTGTGCATATGTGTGTGCACGTGTTTGTGTGTGCGTGCATGTGCCCAGGGGCATGTATGCACATGTAAGTTAGTGTGTGCCCAGGAGTGTGCATGCACATATGTGTATGTATACATGTGTGCACGTGTGCATGCATATGTGTGTGTGTGTGTGCATGTGCAGGTGTGCATATGTGCACGTGTGTGTGCATATGTGTGTGTGCGCATGTGCAGGTGTGCATAAGTGCATGTGTGTGCATGTGTGCACGTGTGTGTGCATGTGCATATGTGTGTGTGTGTGCTTGTGCATGCATGCATGGGCGTGTGTGTGCATGTGTACATGTATGTATGTGCATGTGTGTGTGCATGTATGTGCGCGTGCATGTGTGTGTACACGTGCGTGTGTGAGTGTGTGTGCACGTGCGTGTGTGAGTGTGTGTGCACGTGTGTGTGTGATGGTGCAGGGGGCGTGGGGGGGGGTCGCACACCGTTCCCGGCTCTGCGACTCCCCCGATCCTTTCCGATCCGCTCCGATCCCACCCGATCCGCTCCGATCCCGCCCGATCCGAACTGCCCGATCCCATCCGCGGGAGCGCGTGCGTGTATGGAAGAAAAAACCAAAACACACGGGACCCGATCCCGCCCGATCCCATCCGACGCCACCCGATCACCACCCGACCCGTCCCGACGGCAGCCGAACGGGGCCGATCGCTCCCGACCGCGGCCGATTGCGCCCCGCCTGGCCGCCCGCCAGCCCTTTCTCATAAACCACATGCTGCCGCGCCGCTATAAAGGGGAGCGCGGCGGCGGCGGCGGC